GGGGAAAAGGTGTATAAAAGAAATGACTTTGTGCTCATTAAACAGACCTGTCCTACCCTTCATGAAGTCTTGGCTCATGTTTGGGGGATTGGAGAACTACACTCTGGGGATTGCTATAATCACTATACTCCCCAGAATATAATCACTAGCTCTTGTAAGAGCTGTTCCTGTTTCGCTCTCTGGACTAAGGAGAGGTTCACCCACTGGAAGTTGGAGCCCGGTTTGGGTCCACGGTGGGTGGAGGACGGCAAAACCCCAACCAAGCTGCAGCTGTTTGTGGTGGTTATGGTGTCTAGTGGAGTGCTTGGAGCCCTTGGGAAGCACTAGGAGCATCCTTCAAACTGAGGTACCCAGTCGGGGTGCCAGGCAATCTGTTACAGGGTGACATTAGTGTGTGAGGTGGGGTGAAAGAGTGAAAGGAGGGTGACAGAGTGAGGGGGTAACATTAGTGTGAGGGGGGTGAAATAGTGAGAGGGTTACATTAGTGTGAGGGGGATGACAAATTGAGAGGAGGGTAACCTAGAGTGAGAGGAGGGTGACCTAGAGTGAGAGGGGGTGACAGAGTGTGAGAGGGAGGGTGACATTTTGTAGGAGGGTGACAAAGTGAGAGTGCGGGTGACAGAGTGAGGGGGTAACATTAGTGTGAGAGGGGGTTGATATAGTGAGAGCAGGTGACAGAGTGAGAGGGGGTGACAGTTTAGAAATGGGGTGACATAGTGTGAGGGGATGACACAGTGAGATGGGGTGACAGAGTGAGGGGGGTGACAGATTGAGAGGGCGGGTGACATAATGTGAGGTGCGTGACAGGGTGAGAGGGGGATGACAGAGTAAGGGGGAGTGACATAGTGTGAGGGGGTGACAGGGTGAGAGGGAGTGACACAGAGTGAGGGGGGTGACAGGGTGAGGGGGTGAACAAGTAAGAAGGGGTGACATTGTGAGATGGAGTGATATAGTGTGAGGGGGTGACAGTGTGAGGTTAGGGGTGAAGGGGGTGGCATAGTGGGGGGGTGACAGGGTGAGAGGGGGTGACATAGTGTGAGGGTAGGTGACAGGGTGAGAGGGAGTGACAGAGTAGGAAGGGCATGACATAGTGTGAGATGGGGTGACATAGTGTGGGGAGGTGACAGGGTGAGATGGGGGTGACATAGTGACAGAGAGGGTGAGAGGGGGGGTTGAAATTTACCTTTTTTTGGTGGTCCAGTGGGCTCCATCTGTCCCTGGTGATCTGGTGGGCTCCCTGTGTCCCTGGTGTCCAGTTGGCTCTCGGGTCTGCAGCTCCACTGGGTGGATCTCCAGTCAGAGCATTGCCGTGGTAACCCGGGGCAACGCTCTGATTGGCTGAGATGGAGAGACACTTCAGCCTGCAGCTCACACCCGGCAGAGCTGCAGGCTGAAGGCTGGCTCTCTTCCAGGGCAGACCGAGTGGAGGGGCCTATATATAAAGGGCAAGCCGCCGGGCGTCCTCCTGTGTCGGGTCCTTGGTCATAGACCGAGTACCCGACAGTTCATGGCAATTTAGGCGGCCGTGAGGCCTTAGGTGGCTGCCTAAATCACCTAATTAGAGAG